CTGGACTAATTCGCCCTCCACACAAGCCTTTTAGGAATTATTACTCTCCAGATTATTTCATTAGTATGGTCGCTTCATCTTTAATTACGAATTATCAATGTCTGAATCATTTCATCTATCTTTAATTATCTGTTATCAGCTTAAACACTCGCTTATCCTTTAGTCACTCTCCATCCCTCCAAAATTACACATTATGCAATCCACTTGTCGTAAGCATTTCTACCTTTTAATTATGGGTATTTATTTTCTTCTTTAATTGTTACCCCCTTGACATGTTGATACTGCCTAATTATTGTTAACAAACATATCACCATTTGATTGGTATACTTTTGTGTATTTTAATAAAAATGCTATGGATATATATTAGAGTAGAGTCAGAGATGTCAATCTAATTGAAAAGTGAATATTTCTTCACTCAATCCTTTTGCTTTCACTAAAACTGCTCCTTTTGCTTTCAGCCTTATCTGCCAACTTATTGGTTTTCGTCTGTAGACCTTCAAGTTTGTGTGAGATTGAATCAAGATGAAGGAAATAGGAGGAAAGTTACCTGTAAGTTACCAGAGATACTGCTGTCTGGACAACTATAAAAAGTCATCTACAGGATGTTGAATCTCCCAAGCTAGGTTGGGGAAGCTTCAGTACATGGTCCATACCAACACATCCAACTTCACTTAGTCACATCATGTACTAAGAGAATTTTGATGTTCTTCACTAAGTTAGTTAGGCATCGAATGTGTGTAGGGATAGGGAACATGTGTAAAGTGGAATAAAAGCACTCAAAACTTGTATAATCATATTCTGAAGAGCTCTCTTTCTATTTCTATGCTGATTGATATCTGCTTTTATTTACAAGTGTATATTAACTGTTACTAGTGTAAATACTTCATTTGTGTACTATATATGATAAGCAATAAATATATAGCCTTGTTCTAAGCTTACATCATTAATGTCACCATCATATTGTTAACTTCTAAGGTCAAATAAAATATATGCAAATATTGATAATTTATTCCTCAAGTTTATTTTTCTCATTTTCAAACCCTTTTTTGCTTGTGGATATACGATATATCTCCGTTCAATACATAACGAAAATCCCCATTGAGACATTTAGAAGACAATAGAATTGAGTGAAGAAATATTTACTTTTCAGTGAGATTCAGTTTTATGTTCTTAAAGTAAAGATAAACTATCTAACTTCACCTCCTCTGCGTGCATCTACCAGTTTGAGAGGCTTCTTGGGGATCAGTTACATAAGGTGTGAAAGCGGCTATCTTTCTTATGAATATCATCATCCTACATGGTTAAGTAAGAGACAAACCTGATCTGTTCAACTCATCCTATGAATACTGAACATAAAACTGATGTTAACAAGGCATTTAAAGTTATCTCTTATCGCATTCCTACTATTCTCAATTTTCCTACATACAGCTAACGCCATCGGAATCCACGAGAAGAAGTCAAACTTGTATCTGTGTCTAGACTAAGTTAGTGCAGTCATTTTCCTTACCTTGAACTTGATTCCATGAATGTGAAAAGCTGCCAGTTTGCCCGTCCATCTAAGTCATTTTAAAGTTATCATTGTCCTAACCATTTGATTATCCTGGGTATTTCATCCTTAATTGTTTATTACGCAATCAGTTCTAACATTCATTTATTTTGCAGGGATTAGATTGGTTACAGGATTTCATCATGATGTCACTGATATCAGTTCATGATGACATCGTGTAACTCATTTATTTCTTAATTATTCCTCTTATTTAAAAAAATTATGCATTGTGTAATCAACTTGTCAAAATTTTTGAAACTGTTTCGCCTCCTCACCTATCTCATTAACTTTCTTGGTTAATAGTCACTTCATTGACAAGTTAATGTTACCAATTATTGTTGATAAATTTTTCACCATTAGATTGGTATATTTCACTATTCTAATAAAATTCCTCTTTAAATATTGCGACTCTTAAATGGTTGGAAGCAGTAAGAAGGAAGCCTTAGACTGACAGAACTCAGTTTTTCACCAGAAAAAGGACTAGATATTATGACATCGCTTACCACCTAATTTCCAATCAGAGTATCCATTACAGTGCTGCAGGAGATCAATCACGACCCCAGTGATAACACCTCTGATTCAGCACTTGGTGACACAGATTTAAATCTGAGAAGGGACACAGTCTGCTTCAATATTGCAAATATATCATGTTGGTAGGTGCTAACCAAGGTTGAAGGCTTCCAACCACCTAACAATAATACAGAATGCACTATCGATTGTGAGCAACCTCATACTATGGTTGCCATACTGCAAACATGAAGGAGAGAATTCAGTCTGCACCAAACAAAGGGGACTAGACACTTGATACTACATGGTTACTACCTAGTGTGTAATCAAAATTTATACTTAACTTTTTATACCTTACAGCCAGGAATTTGTCTAGAATTAACTTTGTGACCTTGACTATGAATAGAATTATTCGGAAAAAGTGGCCGTAGTTATTATCTTCCCTCAAAAGCAGATTTCGTAGATAGATTGTTGATGCAGAATGAAATTTTGTCGGAAAGATGGTTGAATCCAAGTTGACAAATTTCGAAGTAATACTGAAATGAACTCATCTCAGTTGATTAAGAGATAAAATCGATAATTCAGCTCCAATGAAGTTTAATGAAAACGTGTTAATCAGTGAACAAAGCGAAACTGTCAGTGGTTTTGTAACATGTCATATAAAGAATTAAATCACTGACGCTTATCATCCGATGCATGCAAGCCAGACACCCTACAACTTTCATATATAAGAGAGGTATTCAGAAAATTCAGTGATCGGTTAATGTCCTGATTTAATGTGGTTGTCAATGTGATCACCATTTTCCCATGGAATCCTGCTTCAATTGACATATTCCCTGTTTGCGAAGGCTACAACTTAGCATTTATACCACAAACCTTAAATATCTTGGTAAGATTGTCAACTACTTTGACTGGTCTGCTTTCGTCATCTATTACTCTTCGCCTAATTTCAACTCTGTTTGTTTGCCATGTTGGTTGTATGAACTATGAGCAGTGGGATCAAGGAGGCTGTAATTAAAATTCCGTAATTTTTAAGAAAAAATTTCTAAAGTCTTAATGCACAGATGACTGCTTCTCAGTATATGTGTGGCGAGTGCCACTCATAAGATTCATCAGTAGTAAAGAAATAGACGTACATAGGCATAAAAACATCAAATAGCAAGGAGACACATTTGATGTCAGAGAAGGATAATGATGCAGCGTTGTGGAGATACATGGTAGACATGAAAGGAATACAAAAACAGTATGAAGGCCAGAAGTGCCACTACACGATGTACACAGTTTGGCTATATAGAGATACCAATTTACTAAATGAACATTCCTTTATCAAGTCTGTCGTCTTCTACTGTTTCATACTCTCTGTTTGATGGATATTCAAATGTCACTCCTTCATTAGACGTAGTATAAAATAATGTATACATGTCAAGGAATAGTAATCAGTCAGTTTGTGAGGCCATAATACACTCATGGCTGACTACTGTCATAACCAACACTACAAACCAGACACATGACACTGGTTTTCCTCCCTGGTGTGACCAATCAGTGCACTCCTCACAATCTTGCAGAAGGTGAATTTTAGGCTTATATAGATCATTGGTAGCTTCTCTGACATCTCAGAGGGCATCTCTGTTCCTTTCAAAGTTACACATACACCTTGGTGACAATCAACCAGATAGAACTGCGGGTCCAAGACTTCCTTCTGATGGTTTCTTACAAATTCAGTAGTTAAAACTTTGAGCATAAAATGGGGAAAAGATGATTAAAACATCACGATTTCTGGTTTATTTAAATCCGTTATTTTCAAAAATATACATTTCTATATGTGTATATATATGCTTTTGCTGGTTATCTGTTTTATTTTAACAAGCGGAGAAAGCATTTGCATACTTAATTCTATCTTCATATTTATGCTTTAAAGGCATACAGTGTTGACAAATGTTTTCAACGCAAGTGAAACGCGTATGCGTCTATCTGACTTTTTGATTTTGTTTGAAAGATTGAGTCAGTACATCAGAGGTATGTGAAAAAATATTAGAAGAGATGAATTTCAAAGAAGTCATCTGCACACACACACACACTCATCCCCCAATCCATCCATCTACAGATAGATGGTAAAAACAACAGAAATTTGAGTAACTTCTCAAGGCTGCATGTATATGGATGAACGGTGATAATTAGAATCGAACATAAAGCTGAATACACCACAATGACATCCTGTGTTCCTCTCTAAAAAATATCCCCTTATTATTATAATGTCTGCATTCGAGTCTGAAGCTGAACCACTAAACAGAAAAGCAGGCGCAATTCAAGTCGACCAGAACCTCATGAAATAATTGTACATGATGTAAAATACAAATTAAATGTTCAAGTATTGGTTTGTTGGGATTTAGTTGATTGGTTACAGGTAGGTAGTTACCTGGGGTTCCTGTGGGAATTCGTGACCAGTAGGGTGCAGCAGGTCGGGTGTGAGGAAAAATACTTGTCGAAGACATTGACTGGCGGTTGCCCTATATCGCGAATTGGCAGAAGTTAGAATTCATGGGCTATTGGATCGGGTACCAGTGGCTTAATGGTATACGAGCTCGCCTTGTAACCAGAAGGTCCTGGGTTCGAACCCCGGTGGGTGAATACAGTGAGGAGTCCCAAACTAGGTCGAAACAGCTGTCCAGTACTCCGAGGTTTTCCAATGGTTCTCTAACCAATGTCAGCTCATGATGAAATCCTGTAACAAATTAAATGAAATTAAGTCTCTAAAAACGGTTAAACCTCCATCAACGATTTTAAGTAACAAAACAACTTTTATTGTTTTGTTTTTTTATTTAGAAGTATTATGATGCATTTTTCAAGTACTCATCAAATCTGTAATTAATAATTCCTATGAACTCATAATAATGATTGTAATAATAATAATAATAACAGTTAAAAATAACTTTTTTAAACAGATAAGGTCAAAATATGTGTATGAAACTGACAATTGACACATTGAAGACAACAAGATATAAACAAACAATTGAATAAATAAACAAACTCTGGATTTTTTGCGCGTAGTTTAAATATGTCTTCTGGATGTGTATATGGGCTCATTTATACTGTAATTTTATTTGAGTTTAGGGAGAGAGCGAGATCAATAACTCTGAGGTTGAATAAGGTATTAAAAAATATAAACAATAACAGTTACAACAACAATAATAATAATAGCAGTAGTATGATTAAAGTAGTATTACATTAATGGAAAATAACATCACAGAAAAGATGGTTAGTCTGGAAAAATCAAAGACAACATTCTGTTTGACTAGTTTAAAAAATATCCTATTGAAATTCGCCTAAAATGTTGCATCAACCGAGTTTATACGTATTCATCTGTATAATATGTAACAAATATGTCTGATAAATTATAGGATTGCGTGCATTTCCATCAGCTATGTTGGGTGACGACATTGTCTTCATACTTCATTTTTGTTCCATTTTTAACAAAGTCCAAGAATATTATCAAGATCGTCAAGATTTACTTCATTTTCAATCCAACGTTGATGTTGGATATGCTGTTGTAGGTGATCATTGTCATCAAGTGGATTCTCGAGTAGGGCGTTCTCATGATGTCCTATTGTTGCATTATTATTAGTAGTAGTCAACGGTATATTATTACTGAAAAATGCATAATCCTGTAATGATGTTGGTAGTTTTATGAAATCACTGGTGACGTCATCGCACTCAGGCAGGATAGTCATTAGTACTGGTGGTGTAGATTGTATTTCTGTTGTCGATGGTAATGATAATGCTGAACCTGAAGATGTCATCTGACAAGGACTTAATGACGATGACGGTGACAGTGACGCTTCTTCTACCGCTGCCGCAGTCAACTCTAACGGTAATGGCATTTCATCATTTGTTAATGAGAAAATAGACGATGTAATTGCGTCATCATCATTATCATCAACGTCATCACCACTGATCTTCTCAACATCTTCATGTCCGCCTGCTATATTTTCATCTCCAGTAACATTTCCACCACCACCACCACCCAATGTGCCATTAATAAAGTTAGTCATTGATTCAGTTAAATTATTTGACCACCAATCAGGTGTATATTTGACACTATGGCCACGTGTAGTTAGGTCAAGTGGATCAACCAGATCGTCCAATGGAGGTATATCATTCAAACCGCTGGCTTTTGATAATTCTACAACTATTCTATTGTCTAACTCGTTTAATCTCATTTTAGATGGAATAAAATCAATACTATTGATGCTTTGTTCATCAGATTTGTGTGTTTCTTCAATTTCACAGACATTATTACATGCATTATCATCGTGATTATGATAAGGATCATCTCCGCCATCAGGGAATAATACATCCAAATCATCGCACATTTCTTGTTCAATTAATTTTGGTGGTGAGGTGTTATACGTATTGCAGGAATGGTGTAACGCATCACTCCTTAATAATTCATCATCAGCACCACAACCGTTAACATCACCACTGAGATCGCTTACACCGAAAGCATTCAAATAGTATTCATTTTCCAACAACAAGGCTGGTGATGTATCTTCAGGTAGTAATTCCGGTGGGGGTGTTGTATTTGTTGTCGTCGGTGTTGTATATAAATCGGATAATGCTGGAGATGAACTAGAATTCGATTGTAATGTTGTATCTTTAGGGAAGCTATTCATAGGTAGTTTTGTCATATCATTTAAAATTGTATCACTAATATTATTGTCACTATAATTACTAGTGTAATTTTCTATAAAGGCATCATAGGAACAGTTAATGCGTCTACGCTTCTTCATGCATTCATTTAAATCGTCATAAAGGTTATCTGATAATTCGAAGGATTCGTTGACTTGGATTGAAGATGAATCACTGTTAATTCTTTGATAAATATCCTCCGATTGCAGTGATGTTGACATTGACTTTGGTGTAGTAGATGTCTGTTGTTCAACAAAATCTAGTAAATCAGGTAATTTAGATATTATATTATTATTAATACTATTTTGCCATAATTGTAAATATTTCTTATGAATTTTATTCTGTATTAATTGATTTTGTAATTCTGGATGAATACGCCATAAATCACCACGACCATTCGGTTCTTCTTTACGTCTTGGAACACGTTGAAAGCATCGGTTAAGTGTCAGATGTTGACGAATTACATCCTAACAGTGATAAAAGAATGCATAACTTAATAAATTCACTAAAATAAATTAACATAACTATATTATTCGGTAAATAAAACAGTAACTAGTATCATCTTTTTAAAGTCTTTCCTTAATGTCTGTGTTGAGTGAATGCTATCAATCACTTGGCTTGAGGACTCAGAACCGCAGTACAACTTTTCATGGTTAGCCGCAGTCGGTAGGAGACGCACTGGATATGGGTTTTCTGCTTCCTGGTACTCGTGAAAAAGGCGTATCTACGACGTCAAAGGAAGTGTTGTGTCTTCCTGGGGATATTCCAACCAATTCTGCCTAGTATTGTGGATAGAGGTGGTTCCATGAAGTTGTTTTGGCATATGACTGACCTCATGTAGCAAACTGTACTGCTCCTATTAATTATTTACTGGGAAGCAGTCAATTGCAGACACGCCTTACTGATGAGTGCTAATAATCACAAAACCTTGATCTATTGTTTTCTGCTGATTAGCTTCAACATTTTATTTCTATTTTATTCAAATATATTAGATTATCTACACTTTACTGTCATTAGTACCTATCAATGGGAGAAATGTAAAGGAAGTCAACTGTTCCACCTACTTAGGTGGCATCGTTTCAACTACATGTGACACAAATAAAGACGCCAAAATCAACGAGGATTAGAAAAACAAGACTGGCATTTATTACTCTGAAATCAGAATGAAAACCTACTGCACTTAGCACGAGGTACAAGATTAAGATATTCAACACTAATGTCAAGTTAGTCAGTGCGTCTATATGGTTCAGAGACCTTCAGAGCATGATGCATCAAAATCATTTCTGACAGGTTACTGAAGACTTTCATTAACAACTGCTTTCCCTCCATAGTGAATATTAGATGGTGAGCAACTAATCAACCGAGAAACTATCTCCAAACTAGTATGGAGTTGAGTGGATTGGGCATAACGCTAAGAGGGCCATTGAATGACATCACTCACTAAGCAGACCCACGAGTTAAACCCAAATGATACTAGGCTAGTTATTATCGGAGTGTTACATGGTGGATTTCGTGTGATGGGAAAATTAAGGCTTGCGGGCAATAAATAGTACAGCTAGCTAAGAAAGATTTCAGAGAACAGAATGAAATGGAGATGTGCTTCTGAAGTCTGATATTCCACTCAGAACCCAAGGGAGTAATAAACACAAATAAATATCATATACTAATAGGATGTACAGAAGTGACTTCATTCTTCTTTTTAATAAAAGCAATAATTCAAGACGTTGAATGTATTTTTAAACTCTTTGCAAGATGCCTGATTAGTTAATAATGTGGAATTTGTTAGTAACACGATAGGATATTAATATCTGAAGCCAGTAAAAATAATACAATACTGATGTGACGAGTAAGCTTTGAAATGTAATGGTAAGTGTTAAGAGGGTCTCTATTTATTTTATTATTTTATTTTTTTGATTACAGCTTGATTCCACACCATATTTTTGGTACAAGTATGGAATTTTCAGCATGGATATCGGTAGCGCAAATTTTTCAGGCCGACCATAGATATCAGGTGTGCATCGGCAGGGGATCGAACCTCGGACCATGTGCATGGTCGGCGAGAGTCCTAACCACTGTGCCACAGACGCATATGCATGTAAATATGCAGTCCCTGGAGAAATTTGAACAAAAATGGCAAACGAGACTCTGAGATAGGTATGAATACAATTTTTACAGATATCTACTTTTGCTTGGCGCTCAATGTTGCTTGTCGAGCTATTCAGTCAAATCTTGATTAGAGTTCACATAAATAATGATGATAACATTAATAGTGATAATGTCAAACAAACAGAATCCGTAGAGTACTCAATAAACGCAACACAAAATATTCTTCAAAACACCAGACACACTAAGAAGAAAACTTGTTCATGTGAAAGATCGAATCCTAATGTATTCACAATCTAACTGTGTCAGTAAAATAAAATGCATCGTATGAGGTGTGATAAACGTTGAACAAACCACGCGAGAAAGCAACATCAGAAGAAATGAACACTGCAGAGGTATAATTCAACCATCGAGAATTCTAGTGAAACCAGAGAAGCTTGAAAAATCGTCACGCATGGGCTGATATGTTATAGAATCAGATCACGAAATCGATTCTGACAATACTGAAGTCACCCACAAAAATTTCAAGTCACAAAAACCACGTTTCATATCAAAAGCGTTTCATTTGAAAGATAATCTAAACGGTCTGAATAAGGATGACAAATTACGACAGAATTTGACCTGTTTGCGAAACCCCACCTCCTTGAAGTGACATAATCAACACAAATATGATCAGTGATTGCCTTATGTTAAAGACATTCTGTTTTTATAATTTCGTAAACTTATCTGTACATGATTTGTTGTCTTCACCAATTTACCCACTTGACTACCTAGAAATTAAATTAACTCACTCTGAAGAACTATGATTATGTTACTTGGTGTATATAAACTAAGACTTTGTAAATTCAGGCTTAATACTAATTTGGTAAAACTATCAGCACTGAATAGGGGAATGTCAGTAAAAGCAACAATATTATTTTGTTTTTTCATTCATTCAGAAATACAAAAAATTCTATAATAGTGAATAATAATCCCCTACATGCAGGAGAATTTCTCTTAAAGTACAATAATGTCCCATAGGGCATTATATATCAGAAAAATAGATGATTAGTAGGTGAGCTCTTATCATAGCTCAAAATCTGAGGTTTCCATCTCCAACGATATCATTATGGTTCATCTGCAGAATGCCCACCGGCCACCTATGTGGTCCGGGTCCGATTCCAAGGCTATGCACTACCTAACGGTGACTAGTTGACTAGCCGGTAACAAACAGGTAAATGACGGCGAGAGTTCAACATGAGGCTACGGACGTCACACTGTGAAAACAAAAACACTATTGTTACTGAAACTTTGAAGCCCCTGCTTGAAGCTGTTTATATTCCACTCGGTGAGTAAGAGGAATGACGAGTGAACATTGAAAATGAATGCCAATCAAGTGTTTAATTAATAAAAGTAATAATAATAATAATCACCTACTTGCCAGTCTATATCTTTTAAATTACGATAAAATGCAAAATGTACTTGAATCCATTGACATATATCATTCAATGTTATTTTATTCTTTTTTAATGAATTCATAGCCATATAAATAAGGGTTGAACACTTGAACATTGGTTTACAGTTAACATCATAACGATATTTATCCTTTTCTTGAAAGTTTAATTCATCATAATTTTGAAATAATGTTTGATTCTTTTCTGTTATCTCATTTAACTGATAATAATTCTCATTATTATCATTATCAACATCGTTATAAGTATCAGGAAAACAGAAGTTGAAGTGATTTTGTATATTTGTTGGTAAGGTGTGATTACAAACACCATTTATAATGCTTACATTATGACTATTCACATTGCCATTCGATATATAGTTAGTGTTTAAATGAACCGGCAAATTTATATCTTTGAAATTTAATGGATAAATATCACTTTTAAATATTCTTTGTACGCTATTTGGTTGTAAATAATGATACCCAATTTTCAAGGGACTATTATGACGACGATTTAAAGAGTTATATGAATTACTAATGCTATAGTTATTAATGTAATTCAGAGCGTAATTTGAATTCGCGCGTATTTCATTATCACAAATAACACTGTTAGAACGTTGATCATTATTATCAATAAAAACAGGATTAATTATAGACGTTAGGTAATTTAAATTTGATTGTAATTTTGAACGGGAGATAGCATTGGTATTGTAAAAGTTTCGAATAGGATTAATAGTATTTGAAGCATTATTATTATTATTATTATTATTATTATTATTATTATTATTATTGATAACAGTAGATTCAGATGAATTAGAATTACATTGAAGTGAATTAGAACTTGCATTGAAATTTAATAAGTTATTATTACATCGTAAAGGTGAATCTTTGAAATGTCTATTTACACAACGTATACCGCTATTACTACTATTATGATTGTCATTATCAGTAGTATTATTCAGCGTAACATGTTTAGATACATTTGTAACCGGTTGATTCAAAGCTGTATCAGATGTACAATTAAATGTATTCTGTATTTCTATTGAAGAGGTTGCTTTAATTACATTTTCAGTAGGACATTTTGATGAATAGATTGTCTGTGATGAATTGATCATGGACGGTGGAAATGCCCCGTTGGGTAATAATGAATTTGACAGGGATAAAGGAGGCGTAGAAGGTGGAGAAAGTGGTTGACCCGTAGAAGCCAATTCACGAATATTTAAAGTCTAAGTAGAAATGAACAACAGACGAGTTGATAGAAGAAATGCTGATTACTGCTAAAATATAAATGCACCGGGAAATATCTTCACATCGGGATTGTTATATAGTGCAATTTGTATAGCATACATCACTTTCTGCACTCGACACTGAGCCACGCCTCCTGTTTGAAGACAATATTATGTCTAATATTTCACTCAGAGTAATCAGATTTCCAAACTATCATGGTCTAATACATAAAGTGTAACAGTTAAACCAAAAACTCCGAAAAAATACAGTAGATTTTCAGCTCAAGTGTATTATTTCTAGTGTCTTTCTGGTCAAAGTTTCCTGCAGTAGCATCAGTGTATAGTGATCTTTTAAATTTCCTCAACCTGAAGCAGAAGGTGACTTGTTGTCTTTGAAGATTTCCTTGCATTGACATTGAAAGTGGTCATTAGTAATACAAGAAAACAACAAAATAAGAAAATCTTCGAAGATGACTAATCATGTCAGACCACATCAACAGACAGACAGTTATTCCATTCATGGAGAATTCTTGAAGGTCACTTTATACTAAAGCTGGAACCGAAGGTGTTATCTAGAAGGCGACAATAAAGATGCCTCTGTAAAAATGCCATTAGCTACATTAACTCTACCATCACATGATGACTAATATCCCCTTTCAACTCTCAGTGAGGATCATAACAATAACACTGAAACCTTTCTGCCAAACATCATCTTTATTATTACAAAAATCATTTCCATCATAACATTCCGGGACTGACTAGTAGACTTTCGCACAGATATTATATCACATCATGTTACTACAATTCGCCAGAGCCCACAGCCTAACAGTGATATGATGAATGATATGACAGGTGTATGAATTTAACCAATCTCTAGCTTCTTGAATATTACAAACAGGCACCTAAACAACGCAAACAAATAGTCAACAACTGTATGCATTGGTGCCATGTTTCTTTCAATCTCTTCGTCCGTCAGCTGACACTGATCGTGAATAGCTGTCTAAACCACAGAAGATTCATGACTTATCATCTACACTGAACAGTATGTTAATCTTAAAGCAAGAAACACTTGATAGAAGAAGTGTGTTAGATTCAGCAAAAGAGTAAATAAGTTTTTCGATGCACAAATTATCTGGACAAAAGTTAAACCAATTTGTATCAACGTCTCAACAAATTGACCTTGTTAGATGGAATGAATGTTTGTTAAGAGAATTCACATCAGTGACCAAACTTATCACAAGTTATACCACGAAGTGATACCACTTACAGAACCAGTGAAAGCCACTAAGTGTGGTGGTGTGACACACACACAGATAATGTGCGCCAACTGAATATGATTCTCATAAATTCCCACACTTAAAGACAGCGATAGCAATCGAATACAACATTTATCTATTTGAACATTCTATTTGATGTTAGAGACAGAATACTTTTCAAACAGTTATATGCTACCGTAACAAACGAATACTATGTATATTTGAACATTGTATTTCATGTCGTTTGATGTAAACTCAAATCACACGCTCAGTGATTGGTTAGCGAATATAAACTGTAGGTATATAAACAGCGGTATAATTAATGAAATATACTTTGGCTTCTGTGTTTTGCCTTCTGTTGTTACATAAGGAGTACTGGACAGTTGTTTCACCTTGGTTTGCTACTCTTCAACACTGCACATCTTCTTCCTTACGGGCGACCTAACCTAAGACTGTCAGCTTACAACTTATGTGTGCGCTTGTGGAAGTATGTTGGTGATCGTTACTTCCTGGCTGCCCATAATATTGAAGTTGATTTCTTCATGGAGTACGTGAAACAGAAAAGGCATTCGTGTTACTTGACGTCATAGCCTAGGTGGAAACTGTTACTGGCTGATGACACAAGAGCTGTTAGAAGCGGTTTTGGAAAGTACATCCGTATCAGAATCATATCACTACAAGGTAGCTCAGGATGTACAATTTTCGAATAGACCATTTCTAAACTCGGCGCTATCCAACAATATAGCTAGCTAGTTATTTGAAAGAAACTCCTTACAGCCGCCATATCATGGCGTTCGTTAGTAACACGACTAACCTCTAACGATTTACAAAACGAATTGAAATTTAGGTGACCATGACTTCTATTGAGTGAAAAATAAATACACATGAAAATATTATTTGTAAACCTCGCGGCGATACTGTGTAATAATATACTTGGGCCAACTAGTGAAATTGCACGCGCTGTCTTAGTGATACAATGTTCAGCTATTCCATTTCAAAGAAGTAAACATAAAAGGGTAGGAATAATGAGTATTTAATGAATCCGCGTTAGTGAAAGTAACTTCATCAAATGTTACTAACGTCCTCCAAACAATAATACTCAATATCTAATAGACATGAGTCAGACAGTCGTCATTGTGATTGAAATCAACAGTTAGAGTTTTCATGAACTAGTCTAATTACTCCTAGCTTTTTTCCAGTAGAATCCTTCTTTTGGTGAAATTATGTGTCGAGGAAACTGATTTCTTGGTATGCTGAAAACACACGCTCCAGGCATCTTAACTGATCCACCTCCTCATTCTCATAGACTGACTTCTCTTTTGTCTAACAGTCTCTGCCAGATTTTATTGTTTTGATCATACTAAACCATTTAATACCAAATAATAAATACACACATCTATGGTTAATAACGACTAGCCTCTTTACATTTGTCACTTTCAGAGAGCATTTTTAACGGACATAAAAAAGAACGAAGCAAACTTATGTGCGACACACATACGCACACACAAACACACTCTTTGATCAATAACCGGATATCACGTCTGTAATTCGGATTTTCAACACAAACGTGAAGTCAGCCAGTCGGTTTTGCTATACATGTCAGAAACTTGGCCTGTGTCTAACGAAAAGGATTTCCAACAGGCCACTGAAGACTTTTACCAACAGCTGCCCACTTGGCTAGCTTCACTATACTGAAGACCCTATGGCTAGAAAGAATTAACAAGGAGAAACTTTGGCAAAAAAAATAACGAAGAGGCAATTACTCAACAAATTTGTAGTGGAAAATGGAGATGGGTCAGGCATACGTTAAGGAGGACATCAAGTGACATTGCTCACCAGCCAAGCCATCACTCGAGTGGAATCCCAGCGGGAAGTGATGAGTGGGTTGTACAAGAATGACATGGAGGAGATCGTGGGATGTGAGGAGGAGATAAGAGATTATGGTTAATTGTGGACCCAGCTGAAGAGGATAGAAGAAAGTGGAGATGTGTTGTTGAAACCCTACTTTCCACTCGGAACCCAAGAGAACAATAATAATACGTCTGTATCAAAAAGATGATGCAAGTTGACAAAGCAGGCCTTTTGTTATCTGTGTTGGTGAGTGCCGACAACTGAGAAACCTAGATACCGAGATTTTCATGATGACTGAATAGTATAAAAATGTATTTTTATTCATCGCGTAACACTCCTTACTTTCTTTAGGATTCACTTTACTTCAATATGCCAATAAGTGGTAACAAAACTAAGGACAATAAGACATAAGCATAGATAGATCAGTCGTATATATGCATATATTTTATTTCTCCAGCTTATTTCTCCTTTCTTTGCGTTTATTTACTTATTTTATTTGTTTGTTTGTTTGTTAGCTTGCGTGTGTTTATTTTGTTGTGTTATTACGTAAACTTGGATGACCTGAAGTAAACAGAAACAACCTTTGTCTACAAGCATGATCACATCTGTTTAAGTTAACTCTTATTTTAACTACTATTAGTTCTTTTTATTTTGTAGTACAATTATTAATTCATCGACTAATCATCATTGTTATTATTTTTTGTTTATTTTTATTTAATTCTCCCGCATTTCATCAATAATTGATTTACTCTTGAATTTCTAACTAAATGAAATTAAACACCTCAAGAAATGGGTACATCGTAAGCTGTAAAATAAAGCTAGCTTGCTTAAATGTATAATTCAGTTGAGGAGATCACTGAACACCAGGGAACCAGGGACGCTTCACCCCACTAGGGATAGGACTCGGGATCTTCATGTTATGAGACTAAACTGTTTGACCATTCAGCCAATTAGGCCTGTGAATTCTTACTTCTGTCTGTTCACAACCGAGCGCTACAACCGACTAAAGCCTTCTGTGAGAATCCACTTCACTTTAACATTCTGGACTTCAGTGGCCACGACTTCTCAGTACTGCTTCAGGACACCCATCCAGTAGCCATCGATGAACTGCTGGAGACTGATATTTATATTTGTGAGGTTGAATAAATTTCACTATGAATTTCACCACAAAACAACAATAGTTATTAGTCTTTGAAAACTAAGGGTAAACAGTGATGCTCAGTGCTACCTAGTGTTCAGTAATCTCTAACTGATATTGATTCTTAATGCAGTTTATATTTAAACTATCATTATTAATTATTTTATCACTACTGTTGTAATTAGTATGGTCTACATAAATGATTGACTGAAACAGTGATTAGGGCTATTTAGTTATTCTCGTCATCTTTTCAAAATGTCATATTTATACTAAAAAAAAAAGAAAATTAGAGCTAAACAGAGTTAGTTTGTACGGATCTGATTTGTTTGAACTATAGTCACCAATTGATGCCAGTTACAGAACCAATGGAAACCAAGGGGTACTGGACATATCTTTCGTCCTAGTTTTGGGGATTACCGGAAGTACTCACCCACTGGATTTCGAACCTAGGACCTACCGGTTACAAGTTAAGCTCGTAGACCATTCAGCCACTGGGACCCAACTAAATTCTAATTTCTATCAATTCGTGACTTTAGCGCAACCATCAGCCAGTGTCACTGGTGAGTATTTGTCCCAACCGGGTGGACTCCACTGGTCATGACTTATTACTAGAATTATTTTATTACTTTAAGAATATTTATAATGTGAAAATATTGTTTATGCAAATCAAATTTATGTAACATCAACAGTTGACAGAAATTCAAATTCAGAGGTATCGAGACTGCACCGCAATGGTTAGAAGCTCGATGCGTTAA